ATGCTTAGTTCACTTATCGTTTTAGTTTCTAAAATTTTATTTTTATTAGTTTAGTTTTTGATGTTTCATGAAGTTATTACATTATTAATTGCCAATTACATTATTAAAGTTAAAAATTAAGGAATATGAGTATAAAACTATTAAAAGTTACATATTTGTTTACTTTCATAGATAAACAAATCCACATATAAAATGATGTAAATTCATACCGTAATCTTGTAAAATATATTAGAGTTCTATTAGATGACATCTTGTCTAAGGTACTGTTAAATGAGTATCGTCTTCTATCAGAATTTAAACCTTAATTGACTGCAAGCGAGTAATATCTTTTACAAAATCTGACTCCCCGTTACCTCTTATCCTATATTTCTCTCCAGGGAGGTCTTGGGAAACGCCATGAGGCCCACACAAAATAATAAATAAATAAAAAGGAAAGGAATCTTGACAATATAACCCGATGATTTTCGTCTTTTCATCGAAAACAGCATGCACCGCCTGTATCTCTCCATCGGTCTCAAGCATTCTGAAATCCACGGCTGAAATCGAAACAAACTGACGGTTTGGAATGATTTTAATATAATTATTACCCCCAGGACCTTTGTTTTTCTTTTAGATAATCATGATGTCCCTTGTCATTATCAAGATTTATTTTTGGGAAAATTGTAATGAGATCTGAAACAAGGAAAACAATTGAAAAACAAGTATCAAAAGTTATCATTTCTACTGTAGGACTTGTCATTATAGGTTGTTCAGGTTGTTATTGAAATTTTTTAATAATTATTTCTCTTTTATGGGATTTAATTGTAATTCACTAATTCTCCATTTATTTTTTGTTATGAAATCAACCAATAAAAAAAATAGAGAAGATGAGAAATGGAGACAACAAAATAAGCAAATTATATTGTATTCCTTCACTACACTTTCTTTCATTTGCATTACAACACAATGATATATTCTATTTATAACGATAATCTCACATATATATTACACTTCGACTTAAATGATAGATAGTGGGTAATAAACCATATGAATATGAGTGGAGGGTGAGTTATAAGATTAAAGACATGATAAAGGAGTAGTGGAGTAATGAAAGATTAATATCTAGTGAAAGTTGATGAAGTTAAAGAGAAAGAGGAGATGGACATCAACTAGAAAAAGCCCTGTGGGACAAAAACCAAGTGCAAGAAAAAGAGTACACATTCACTGATACACTACTTGATGTTGTGTCATTAAAAACCTTGTTAGGAAAATCCAATAAAAAAAATCATAAATAAGGAAAAAAAGAGTACAACATGTATTAACTCTCCCTCTTGATAACATCAATTGATATCCTTGAGCTCGTAATACCTAATATCATGAACAAGCTTGTTAAATATTGTAGCAGGAAGTGACTTATTAGACATAAATTTTACCATCTTTTGAATATTATGAGACAAATATTCTATCTGGAATTACTAGCATGTGGATTATAAAATAATCTAGAATTCTATTCCAATATTTTTGTGTTGGCAAAGAACTATATCTTAATAGTAAGTTAACAGTAAATGATATGCCAAGTCATACATGACTGACAAGATATGATACGATACTTTTGGACCACGTAGTTCTTCATCACCTTCTTGGAATCTAACAAGTTCTTTATTCACCTTAACGAATCTCACAGCTATCAAAGTACATAATAGATGTGATTTATCTATAAAAAAACATTTTAAGACCTTTAGAGAAATGTCATTTCTTAAGTATTTAATTAGCAATCCGAGACAAAACTTTGTTCTTTTTAAGTCTTTTATTTCAAATTTTTTCTTGTAAGCAATTTATAGTTTTTATAAGCTCTTCAAGAGTTCTAATGATATTTATATCATCAACAAAAACTACATTTATGTCAAACTCATTTTCATGTTGTTTCGTAAAAATACATGGGCGAACTGAATCATTTTTATATTACTCCTTCAACTAATATTTACTTGGTCGGTTATACCACACACGTCCCGATTGCTTCAATTCTTATAAAGACTTATTCAACTTAAATAAGTATTGTTCTTGAAAACTTGAATTGTATGCTTCTGACAACTTAAATCTTTCAGAGAATTTCATGTATTTTGATCTAGAACTACAAAATAGATGGTAGTACTCCTGTTATTTTAATCTTCATAACATTTCATATATAGTGATTTTCTTTATATATGCTCCTGGCTTATTTTGGATCTTTCAAAAATTATCATGTAAATTAATGATCCTCATGCATGGGTTATAATAATATCTAACAAATGCATTTCATAATTGTCAGACTATTCAAATATGCAAAATTATATCCACTACAAAATAATATGTCTCATCATAATCATCATCAGACTTTTGTAAAAATATTTATTTCCGCATAAACGTCCATATATTCCATAAGAGTTTTATATTCCATGTGTTAAGATTGTTGGTCTATAGTTTTGACAAATTGAAATAATATTTTTATTGCGTTTTTTTCTTTTTAATTTTTAGCCAATTTTCTATCTATTTTATCGACATATTTACATGTAAAATCCTCTTTTTATCACGTGATATTATTATCAAAATTGTTGTCGATAACTTTATATTTTCGGTTTTTTTTTTGTGACATAATTTATTGAGATTTCTTTCTTACTTTTCAAATACATGAACATCTTATGAGGTTTTATAATTAGTTATCTCTTGACATGCTTTAAAGTATATGCCTCCTCAATATAACTTTTAAATTATATGCTCCTCCTTATTCAATATATTTATATTGAAACCAATTAACCTCTCATGCTTCCGGCTTGTTTCATTTTTATTTATACTGATTAGAGTATTTTCAACTGGAATAAGATATTTAAAAAATTTTATTTAGGTGAGTAAGATATTTTGTAGCATTTCATGGATGTAATGTTCGATGAACTCCTGGTCCATACTGATATATTTGAGGATCTATATTTAATAATAATGCATTTTATATGTTATCCTTTCCAACTATTCAATTTTTCCCCTTCATGTTGGAAAAATATTGTCAAAATGATGATCAACTAATCGCACAATAGAAGTCTTCTAAATCCATTTGCTTCCTCTAGACATTAATTAAAATCATGGTTTTATTATAAATTATTCATACAAGCTTTTATTCATTATCGTTTTTATAAATCAATTTTATACCATATCAGCTTCATCCACCATTGATTCAAGTCGACCCTAAATAAATTTAATTGAGGAATTATTACTGATTTCTTACCAGGCTTTGCATAAAGGAAAATAGTCCAAATAGTTTATTTCAGTGCTTTTCTTTTGTGAGAAATGCACTTCAGCACTAATTTATAGGCCCTGTTTGAATCAAGATCATAATTAATTATAAGAATAAGGTTTTCTTGAAAAGTATGCAAGCACATATATACCAAAATTAATTAATTATACAAACCTAAAACCAAACATATTCATATATGCCAAAATCAATTATGAACCCAAAATCATGATCATTTCATAAGAGTTGTCAAATACTCCTATGCATACTGAAGCCAATTATAAAATTGAAAAGCTAAATAATAGTATAGCTTGTGAGAAAATCATTTTCTTTAATTTATAATTGATTTTGGCATGTATAAGAATATTTAGTAACTTATGATATAGCTGTGTTTTTGGGGTTGTAATCTGTTTTGGCATGTATATTTGAATCGCTTACTATGGCTTATGTTATATACTGAGATTAGCAAAAATTGTTATAGTTAAATTATTAGAGCAAAGAAAATGATATATTTTAAAACAACGTGAGCCATGGTAAGCGATCCAATGAGAACTGAAATATTTGGGGGGAAAAGGAGTAAGGATTTTAATACTCTTCTGATCTCTAATATAGGAGCTAATGAAGAAATTAATATTAGTTATATATACAAGACCTATTTCACATATTTATCAAATTTTTTTTAAATTAACCCTATTAATATTTTTCTAACAATAATCAAGTACGAGAAAAAAGATGGGAATTAAAGAAGATGCTGAGAGTATATTAAAAAAATATATCATATTAACTAATTTAATTAATATTTTTAATTTATTTAAATAAACTAATTAGTTCTTATTTTAAGTTTCATAGAGTAACTCCATGACAAAAGAGAGAATGCAGCTATTGAGGAGGCCTCGAAGGTCTGCCTTCATAGGATACATCGTAGTATTCTCTCCTAATTTTATCCTTACTGAATATAACAAAAAATAGGTGAAAGAGAATAAACAACATATTTTTTTCTTTATCAATATGCTTATTTTGATGGGAAAAGGGCAAAAAAATTATTAATTTAATGCATTTTTATATGCCAGAATAAGGTACAAATGATTTATAATTAAAAATAGAGCGGTAAATTGATAAAACGATAAGTGGGCTACTCTGTTTATTTGGAGTAAGTGCACCTTAAATTGTGATATACAAGAGCTTATTTTGAGCAAGCAACTTTTACAGTCCAACTGATATAATTAATTATGATTATTAACTTACTCCTGATAAAACTGTGTCTAGAATATTTATCCTCCAAGGCTTTCATTCCATATACATTAATTTATGCTTTATGACTGAACATACATATGCATTTTAATTTTATTCTCCTTCTTGTCAAAACAAATGGGCCTACATGTGTGAAAAGATAAATGAGATTTTTCCTCACAATGTGGGTGTGACCAATTAAGATTTGAATTCTTGTTAAAAGTAGTGTTTGACAAAATCCCCAATAAAATTGCTTCCAATAAAAAATACATGTGTCTAATTTTAAAAAAAAAATCCCAAGTCATTGACCCGTGTGCGACTGAAATAAAAGAACAGGATTGCCACGTCCTCGACGCGTGAAACAGTGTCGTCAACGAAGCATTTCATTGGTGATGTAATCTCTTACATCCCTCCTTGCCTTCAGAAGCAAATTTGACTTTCTCTTCCAGAAATCCAACTTTGTTGACCGACCCATCCCTACCCATAGCTATATAAGAAAGGGAATCGCAAACCCAGACACCATACAACCCTCAAGCGCAGGTCTCCGATATAAGTCCCCAGAAAAAGCATATACTCCTCCGGTCCTAATTATAAGACCCAATTGATTTATTTGAGGAGATTAAGGAAGTAAGTTAAGTTAGTTATTTATAATAAATAAGTGTTGTCATTCCTAAAATATCCTTGCTAATTAAGTATATTGGCTAAAACTACCATTATTAGAAGGATTATCTTGAAAAAAAATGCATAAATATAAGAGACAAAATGGATTGGGGTCTTATAATTAGGACCAAATAAAAAGTCAAATGGGGTCTTATAATAAGGACCGGAGGAGTATATTAAATTGTCATGGCTTCAAATCAACAAGTGAAGCTTTTTGGAATTGTAGGAAGCCCATTTGTGACGAGAGCAGAGATTGCTCTGAAGCTCAAGGGAGCGGAATATGAATATGTTCATGAATCATTGACCGACAAAAGTGATCTTCTTCTCAGGTACAATCCCGTTCACAAGATGGTCCCTGTGCTTCTTCACAACGACAAGCCAATCTGTGAGTCGCTTGTCATTGTTGAATATGTCGACGAGACTTTTACAGGTTATCCCATCTTGCCTTCTGATCCTCACCACAGAGCCTTGGCTCGTTTCTGGTCCAAGTTCATCGACGACAAGGTAATACATAAACAAGGCTTTCTAGTATTTTGTATTTTTTTTGCCCCAGATATGATGAGTTACTGAACAGGTTTTTCATTGCTTTGAGTTTAGGTCTTGCCTGCTATATCTAAAGCAGCTTGGAATCCTGATGCGAGGGAGAGAGAGAAAGGTGGTGAAGAATCCTCGGAGGCTCTCAAGACTCTGGAGAATGAGCTGAAAGGAAAGTTCTTTAATGGAGATTCAATGGGATATGTGGATATTACTGCATTGTTCTTGGCTTTTTGGCTGCCTTTAATTGAAGAAGCTGGTGCGCTTGAGTTGTTCAGTGGTGAGAAATTTCCAAAGCTTAAGAAATGGAGTCACGAAATTCTGAAACATCCCATTGTGAAAGAAGCTTTGCCTCCAAAGGATGTTCTCATTGGCTACTACAAAACCCGCTTTCAGAGCATTGCTGCTTCCAAATAGATAAATGGATTCATCTTTGTGTTCATTACCGCATGTTGTGATTTCATGCCAAAATAAAAATATGCAACTTTCTTTTGCAACAAAATCTCGATCATGTGTTTGGTTTTTTTGTTTTGGTCGGGTTGTTATTTTCTGCCTCTTTACAACTCCCTTTAGGACGTTGTCTGATAAAAGTTCGTTATTGGAATCTTTTAGCAGCTCTTAAGTTAGACTTTTTGCTTTTGAATCTTCTTCTTGTGCTTTTTTTTTGTGCAATCTTCTTTTTTTTTAATTGCCTTTTCAGTGTATTTATGGGATATTCTGAGTCCCTAGTGTTTCCTCTTGATAGTCTTTGCCTCGTACCCACCATTTGTAGTGCAAATGTAGCTTCTGGCTATCCTCTTCTCCAGCAATCATTTTCGCCTTGGTTCAGTTTTGTTGCTTGTTTTATATTTTCATACGATTTATTCTATGTTTGATATGAGGAAATTGGAGTGAAAATAAGGGGAAAGAAAATTTTAATAAGCTTGATTTGAAAATCTGAAGAAATGGGATTTTGAAATTTTGATAAAAAAATTTACAAGATAAAAGAGGAAGAAAATTTAATTAAAAACCTTTAAACCAACTTCTTCAATTTTTTAAATCAAATTTATTAAATTTTTTTCTCCTATCCCTTTCCTTTCATACGCACCATTAGTGTTCATACGCTGTTTGTTTTTCTTTGGGCGGTTGGGCCTCATGAACAAGTTGCGATTATTTTCTAATGCATTTGGACAGCTTATCTGATGATGGAGCTCCAGTTGCATTATTCTTTGAAAAGAAGGGCAAACAGGACAACTTCAAAAGGTGGAAATTTGCAGCACCTTTGGATTGTGCTCAGACCTCTGCTTCCAAATAGATAAATGGATTCATCTTTGGGTTAATTATCGCATGTTGTAATTTCATGCAAAAATAAAAATATGTAACTTTCTTTTGCAATAAAATCTCGATCGTGCGTTTGTTTCATTTAAGACATAAGCAACTCTTACCATCTGGGGTCATTTCCACTAGTTTCTTTATGTTTTGAGCATTTGAGATATTTATTTTAGAATTTGGATCTACCAAAATAAAAAATAATTAGTAATGTGAAAATAAATAAAATAAAAAATCTAGCACATTTAGTTTCAATCTGGCCAGCTTATAAGATGGAGGAGTTTCAGCTGCATTCTTCATTGAAAGAAGGAAAAACAGGAAAATTTCAAAGGGTGGAAACTTGCAACGTTATACATAGAATAATCTCAGGATATGACCAACAAAGAGATGAGATCAAATACAACAAAAAGGAACATTCAAAGTGGCAGCCAAGTCCTAATTTAATGAACAATGATGTCTCTGCTACTTGCTGCTGCTCGCCAAATCCTTCACAACAGTCACAGGGCAAGACGCATGTGTCGTCACAAAGTTGCTCACGCTTCCCAGTAGGATCCTGTTCTCCCAAATAAGAAAAATAAAGATAAAAATGCATTTGACCCATACGTTATAAGAAAATTCTGGTAACAGCTCTAAGGAATCAAACATAAATTATAACATGATCAAAAGAGTGAAAACAGGGGATTGGAGAAATTTCTGACCTTTGGATTGTGCTAAGACCTCTGCTTCCCATAACCAGAGAGTCCAGCTTCAGATCTTCAATCGCATCCAGAAGTTTCTCCCTCGCATCACCCCAGTACAATTTCGCCACAATGTTCACCTGCACCATCATTTCTCTCACGGCTTGAAATTGTTCTTTCAGAAATCAAACGGAAAACAGAGAGTGAACTTATCTTTGTGGAAATGAACGAAAGAAAAGAAGAACCTCTTTCTGTCTGGAAGCAGTATCAAGCAAATCAAGAACTTGGGTATCAATTGGAACATCGTACTTCTTCATGATCTCCGGCTCTCTGAACTGTGCCAATGGGATCAGAGCTGAAAAAAGATGGAACCAAAACGAATCAGATCGAGCGCGAAAAAAACAGAGCATGAAGCAGGAAGACTTGAAAAGGGAAATCAGATTGCGTTTCACAGATATCCAAAATATAAAGCAACAGAAAAGAAAACTTACGAGCACCAGATTTGGCGTAGAGATGTTTGTGAGAGTCGTCAAGGGAGTTGTGGGTGACATGGATGATGTAAAAAGTGTCGCCTTTATCAGCCAAATTTTCAAGGGACCATTTCAGAGCATTCTTGCTGCTGTTTGAGAAGTCCATCGCCACACCAACTTTCCGATCCTTAACCATCGTTTCTCTCTCTCTATCTCAGTAAACACACACTCGTCTGGATGTGCTTCTCTGTGTTTGTTATAAGAAGAAGCAGAGATGATTAAAGAAAAAAGCAAACGCGGGATTTGGATTTAGCTTGGACGCTATCTCAGATCAGGTTATGCATCATTGGCCACGTGACAAGTAAAATGAAATTGTCTGTGGAAGACTTATTTTATAATATAAATTATATTATAAAATAAATCTTATATTTATAATCATAAAAATACTATTTATTAAGCTTTATTAATGACAATAAACGGCGAAGATATTAGAACAGAGAAACGAGTTTTGATGCTTATCAAAATCATATCTAGACTATACAAATCGAATTTGAATGGACTAGATTTATTTTTTTATTTTAAACAAAAATTTATTTTTTAAAAACATGATGGTTAAGAAATTACCTTTATTTTAGATTATATATCTATTAAAATAATTATTTCTAAAAAAATAAAAATAAGAAAATTAAACCTGTATTATCAAAATCACATTTGTGTGGTGCAAAGTGATAAATTAGCACGAAATTGGTTCTTAGGATGGGGTGCTTTTTACTTTTCACAAATAAGGGAAACAACCTTTTTCATACGCAATCGGATATGGTTAACCATTGTCAAGTGCTTTGACTTTCCCACCGCTTCTGAATCAAAGAGCCTGACAAATGGTAGATTATTCAGTAATTTTTGCTACCAATACTAGAATTTTGTTGATAGTACATTTATAAACATTTTTTAAAATCATAAGGCATGTCCTGATCTGTTAAGTCAGGATCAAACTGACCAAATTTTTTTGTTAAAATAAAAAAAAAATGTGGGGAAAGCCATTGTGACTGTGGGCCCCACACGGGTAGAAGGGAGCTTTGTCCTTTTTTACGGTGAAAAGAAGGGAGCTTTGCTGGCTACTCGTCTGGCTTTGTCCGTATGGGTATAAGCATAGTACGCCGCTGATGCCGCTCCATGTGCCCTGTCTCCTCCGATTGCCTTTCTTTTAAAAAGAAAATGATATTAAATTCCAACTTAAGATTTAAGCTGGCAATTATTAAAAAAAAAACTAATCTGGATGTAAATCGAGAAATCTCATTGAGAATAACCTTTTCAAGAATATTTTTTAATTAAATTTATGCAAGATTAAACTCACGTTCTGGTGTTTGAATGGCCATAACCTCTTTGATTGCGCGAGCCTTTTTCTGTATCCGCATGCGTCTATGGGGCCGCCATTGATATAATTTGAATTAACAGTGGGAAAAATAAATCTGAATAAAATTGATTTATACTGTTATAGAATATATTTTCTTAAATAATGACTTGCTTATTTGATTGATTTGGGACAATTAATTATCAGAAATTTCTTTGACTAGTTTACAGCTAACTCAAGATTTTATCATATAAATTCAATGGAAACAAGCACGACACATGACCTGATTGGAAATATCAATTTTAGAGAGAACATGTTGGCTTCCCATGCAAATATTTCTTTGACCTCTTTCGTCTTAAACTGGTCTTAAATATAAGAGGTAATTAATTAATTTGAATAGATTAAAGAAATAAGTTAAATCAGTTATTTGTAATAAATAAGTATTGTCTTTTCTAAAATATTCTTACTAATTAAGTTTATTGGTTAAAACTACCATTATTAAAAGGATTGTTTTAAAAGAAAATGGATGAATATAAGAGAGAAATATATTTGAGTCTTATATTGAGAACCAAAATAAAAATTAAATAGGATTTTATATTAAGAATAGGATATAATACTTTTATTTTTGTTAAGAAGGAAAAAGAAACGCCACACCTGATTAATACCGATATCGTAAACTGACATCCTTACCCCTATCCACATATGGATTCAATAATCAACCGCGGTTTGGTTGGTCAAAATTGAAAATCCAGTGGATCCATGACCCCTCGCGTTACTCCTCATGACGTAGATTTAACATTTAATATTATTTTCGATCTTAATTATAAGACTTTATTTATATATTAACATGTATTATTCTAAGACGATGCGTGCGGGGGTGGAGGAAGTTGCTGAGAAGTTTCCTCGCACGCTAGCTCATTTTTGTGGTGGAATTAAAATTATTTGCTAAAGTCAGATGTTTACTGAGAAATATCTCAGGAAGGTGCTGTGAAGTTTCCTTGCCTGCTCATAGCGGCCCTGATATCTTTGGTTTTATGAAACATTAGCCATAGAGATTATCATCCAATATACAACTGCAATGATGGATCTATCTCCATTATGTTCACTTGTTCAACTTCTTTAACTGAGCTTCCTTGGGCTGAAGAAAATAGCAGCTCTAGTGATAAATGTGGTCATGGTCCCATTGTTGACCCGAACATTCAAAGTTGGCCCAAGGTTGATCTCTCAACTTTGCTATGAAGATGAAGGCCTTTTGAACCCGCACCTTCCGCCATGGGCCTTCACATTAAATGGGCTTGTTCCTTTCTAGTTGTTAAGAAAAAAAAATGTTTATACAAATCACTCATCAACCATAAACAAAAGTTGGGTCTAACAAAACGAGTTAGTTTTTCAAAATATGATAAACTAAAATTTGAATCTCACTTCAAGAGATTCTTATGTTTAGTGTTTTATAATGTCTTGAGCAGGATATGGGAGTACATCCTTTAAAGGGAAAAAGATGAAATAAACCTGCACTTAGGAGGTGTTTGGAAGCGCCCAAAAATGCTTCTTAGAAGGATTTTTTTGTAAAACAAAACAAATTCTTTTACATATTTACTTCATACGCTGTAAAAATACTTTTAAAATCATGCTTTTAATTCTATCTGTAAGTTTGATTAGATGGCCAAATGGCATCTTATACTTTCATCCAAAAATCTATTAACCGAGAAGGGAAGTGGGCATGAATAGAACACAAATGAATGAAAGAATGAGAGAGAGGATATTGGGATAGTTATGGAGCTTTAATTAAGGGATAAAAAGAAGATCCAATGAGAGATGGGGCATATGGGGTCAGTAAGACGTCACCTCAATTAATAAGATCTGGGGGATTACCATTAATTGGTCAGCTGGAATTTATTCTCACATTCTGATGCAATCTACTTTGGTCCCTTTTATTCGCTGCTCAGATGACATGTCCAGGCTAGAGAGAGAGAGAAATATTAAGTTTTTTTTTTTGAGACCAGAAGAGAAAGATTAAGGTTG